AGAGTAGAGGTTCTTTCCTTCTGATAGTATATATAATTTTGTGTACCAGCCATGTACAGATGTGAACATGTTATGAATCACTCAGATAAAAAACTGGCCTGTCAGTCAGTAAATACATAAATATTAAATGCCAAAATAAAGAGACAATCTTCTATACTCCAAAAAAGCTTGTCAGTTACCAAAAGGAGGCATATACTGTGTGGTTGGGAGTAATTAGTCTCCATCTCCACAAATTACATTGTATGAGCCACTGCCAACATAAGCTTTCCATATTTTGAAATATTTTCTCCTCTCTAAATGAAACCACCCACTTTCTGAGTAATTCAGATTTTTTTAATCCCCTACAGATATATATGAGGCAGAAATAACCCTTGTCCCTTAATGGAATATTAGCTCATGGAAAGAAAATTTAAAATGTAATCTACATGAACTGATTATTTGATATAGTAAGTAGCATCCATCCTTGCCCAAACTTCACCTGTTTTTATGGACAAGGGGAGTTACTGCATTCTTCCAAATCATCACTCTCACCTTCACTAAAAGGAAAAATGCATCTCAGATAAATATAACAGGTCATCCCCTAAGAGTGGAAAAAGTACACTCTTACAAAAAAAAAGGAGGGGGGAGGGAAAAAGTGTACCATGTGTCATTTCCAAGGGAAACAGCTATGGATCGCTGTGGCCCATAATCAGAGAACTTGCTCTCTGTGTAAGACCCTAGACATAGTTTTTCGGTTAGCTGGCTCTCTGTAGCTCACTGCTCAACACTTCCCTTTCACCTCTCAACCTGCTCTTTGGAACCACCTTGCTTTCTGCTTTGATGAGGCACCAAAACTTAGACCACCTAAGCAGAAATCGGTTGTGGACACAATTCATAACACCCTTAGGTTTCTACTGGAAGAGATACTGTGTACGACAGAGTTGTGCAATGCTCGAACATAAAAGCGAGAAAGGTAATAACTGACTGGCTTTTTATTTGTTCGACTTTATACTCTCCAATTCTGGGAGTATAATTTAAGGGTTCCTTATTATTCAAATTATTGACGAAAAATGTAATAGTGGCTATTTATAAGATGTGATAAAGTCAGAAAAATTAGCAGTTTCCTATTGCAGAAAAATTATAAGCATCTAATTTGCATTTGGAATTGTACAGTAAAAGTACGATTCATTCATACACTATTTCTAAAGAAAAACTACCATGTTTTGTTTAAAAAATTGTACTCCTATACATGAAATCAGATTTAGACCTTACTAGCTGTTGATAGGAAAGCAAATTAACTCAATTGTCCCAGCAAGATTAAGGCTCAACTAGATAACAAAGATGGTCATCACTTTGTGTTTGACTTCCTGAGGCAATGCTTCTGCAGAAGGGGGTGGAGGGAATCAATTACACAGCAAATAAAACAAGAAAGTCAAGAATACGGCAAATCTTTGGCATTTCTTTTTTAATAGTGTCTTGATCGAGAACAAGCAATTCAGTGGATCAAGAAAGAAAGGCTTCCTGCATTTCTAGAAAGCGACTGTTACTTTGAATACAGGTATTGCAATCTTTTGTACCGTCTGTCAGTTTTAAATTTGTACATTTTTCTCTTCTAATTCATCTTGACAGTACCCTTAGTGTGTTTTCTCCCACCTCTTGTCCTGTTTAGTTTTAGCATTTGAGTGACTTGGATAGAGTAAAATCAGTGACTTTTTTCACTCGTCATTCTATAATTTTCCTCGGCCATGAATAACATACTATATTACAACATTACAGAGAGAGAAAGAGTGGGGTTTACTGTTCTCTGAATCTCTGTTCTACCGACAAACCATGGTAGCAACACATCTTTCTCTAAGCAATATGGAGGTCATGTAAGTGGAAGATATGAGTCCATGAAATCTATCTGGGATAAACCAGCCAGTTCTTTTTATTTCAGTCATTAGTTTTGTATCTTTGGGCCCACTGCCAGACTTCCTTTTGCAAGGTTCTCTGTGGGATGCCGTGGCATAGTTGGATGATTTACAGCTATACACTTGCTATATTTTTCCAGATGTCCTTTCAGCAGATGTTCAGGAGGTTTAATGTGCCTTTTGGAAGGATCTGCCTCTACATCCCTTAAGGTTGTGTCTAGATGGTGATAACTGTAGTGTGTTTTAGGGGTCTTACAAGGAGAGGCAGTGTGGCATTAGGGTTCACAAAACTCATGTTAGGTGATTGTAATGACAGACTAGTTACTGGAGTGTGGACTTCTGCTTGAAAAATTTCAAAATATTTTTAAATTTCAATATCCCAAAGCGCACTTCAAGTGGAAAACTGTACAAAGAATAAACAAACTGTGAAATAATGCTCCATTTTATCTTTAATAGCAGCCAGCTTTACAAGTATCCAGGCCTCATCAAACACTAAAAATTTGATCTTCTGCTATTGCAAAGTATTTCCTTGATCAAGCAGAGTTACCTAAGAGAATTACATAAAACTAACTTTAAGCATGTGCCTAATTTACATTGACATCAGTATTTTAAGTTGCTTTCCTCGATCAGGATCAAGACAGGCTAAGATGCTAAAGGGGAAACTTGCATTTAAAGATGAAGATACCCCAACCCTAGAATGAAATCCTATTTGTCATCAAATAGTGGGGACAAACAAAACTGGGCAGTCAGCTCATGGTCATAGGCTCAGGCATAGGCTTCTTCTTCCCTTCCCATGCACCTTGGAAGTTGGTTTTGTACTGCATTCTAACGTAACTGAGTAAGTTCTGCCACAGTTCTTGAGCCCACAGCATCCTCATCATCGTCATGTGGGTCTAGGATTGCCTTTCCTGAACATCACAAGGTTCACACTAACACAAGGTAGCACTGGAGTGCTGTTCAGTACTATGAAATCCTCGTATAGCGGCCAGCTGAACATGACAGTGCCAGCTGTCTCATTATCATCTGAAAGTTCAATTAGTATGATCACTCCTGTGGCATTGCTGCTGGAAGATTGCTTGTGTCAGGACCAGGAAATGTAGTGTCTGGTAGTGACACAGGGCTTCTGCAATCTGGGAGAATAGTTCCATTTTAGCAGTCAAAATGTTTAAGGTCTTCTTGGCAGGGCTTGGAACTGCATAGATACATGCAAGATCATCCTGACAGAAATCAGTTTTACTGGTAAAGCTTGATAATGCGAAGCAGGCCACCAACAGTAAAGCTGGTGGACTATGGAATGGCAGTACTCACGTTTATATATGTCACAGCAGGTGAGGGGTGAAGTAATAAAGCAGATCATGAAGTTCCTTGTGGCAATTTATTTTTAGAGTGATCATGGGTTTTATTGCCTATTCTAGGGAAAAATCAACTGTTTCTCTGAGTTAAAGCTGAAATTAACTGTTTTCTTGTGTCATCATTTAATTTCAGGCTAGCTAAATTGATATCACAGGTAGAATGGAGCAAGACTGGTATTAATTTTATTATAGATAGTGACTATTATCCCTGGATAAAGAAGAGAGACCCAAGTCCTCCCTCTCCTGAGGAGGATGACACTTCATTGGCTATGAAGAAGTTCTACGTATCTCTTGGCCAGGTAAAATAAACATGTTTAGTGGGTGTAACATCAAGCTAGATTGAATGCATTGGGTTAAATTATTGTAACTGAGGTCACAGCCTAATTGGACAACTGATTCTCTGAATATCCCTTCTTTTCAAAGCTCTTTGTACTATAGAAGAAGGTTCATGGGTTGTAAAACAGCTTAAACAGAACTGGGAAATATTGTTATAGAAATCTATACAAATGGACTGCACAAAATCACTACAGACAGTAAGCCCTCTGCTCTCAGAAACACTGCAATAAATAGAGAAATTTGAATTGTTAAATGGCATTTCTTTTCCTAGGCTATGGTTTCTCAGACAAAGGATTGGTTTACTTTAGCAAAACAAAGTGAATCCATGAAAACTACAGATTCATCTATGCATCCTGTAGCTTCCAGTCAAATTCAAGATACTCAGCGTTTGCCTGGGCAGCACGAAAGAAAGGATTCATTAAGCAAAAAAGATAACTTCCTGGGTAAGTAACAGGGGCTCAGCCATAGTATTACTAACGCAAGTCTAACTAAGTGGAAAGCAAAGGCATTTCAAGGAATTGCTGCTAATTCCACTTACTACCTTCTGAGTATCTCATGGTATCTTAGGCTTCAGGTGGTGATTTGTTTCTTTCCATAGCCACAACATTAAAATTTGAGCTAGTAACTAATTTTGTGATAGTAGAAGTCTCTTTTCTTACATATTTCTGTCTCATAGATGTCTGTAAGTTTCAGCTGTGATGCTTTTTTTTTTCATTCAGTATATTTTGAAAGACTTTCTTGTCCGGATTCTTTAGGTATTTGATAATGCATGATTTGTGTTGCAGCCGTCTTAGGATATTTACGTTGGGCACTTAAAGGTCTTTTGGCTGCCAAATTTTATGAATCTTATAGAATGTAATCGTTTGTGACACTCCTGTCTGTCAAATTTAACTGAAATTCTTCAGCAGGTTTCAAAGGTACTGGGAGAAAACATACAGATGCACATATGGACATACCTGATTGCATAGCCTTGCTTCTGCTCCGTAGGCAGTAGCAAGTTGAACAGAAAATCCTCAACTCATATGTTAGGAGTTGTCTCTTCTATTCTGAGAGGAAAAAGCTGTCATTCCACTTTGAGACTTGTACTGCTGGGACCTTAGAGTCCAATGGCTGAATGGAAAATTGGAAGACATGGTAACTCCAGAAGTCTGTCCTCTTCCCCAAACCCATAACGATCACCCCAAGAAATATATTGCTGATTCATGGATTATCTGCAGCTCATGATCCTACCACTAATTTTTGCAGTGCTTTGAGCAGAGAGGTCATAAGTGCACCATTCTTGCAGAGTGCCATAATGTAGCATCACTCCGTGTTGCACTGGGTTGGCCATAGGTCCATGGAAAGCCTCTTTTGCTGTCCTGCAGTCAACAGTGTTTTGCTTCAATGAATATTTTATATCTCCTGACTGAAAACTTCATTTAATAACATAGTCCCTCATTTTACATCTGCTTATTACTCTTCTTTATGCTTGTATCATGGGAAATCCATCATTCTTTCTGCCAGAAAACAAACTTTTTTTTAGGCACAGTGTTCACCTGGTGTAGGGGTCAGGAACTGGAAGCAATAAAAGGGCATCAGCCAAGTTTCACAGAGCCAGCCTGCTAGCTGGCTGAAAGAGATCAATAGCTGAATGTATTTGCTTGGACAACCCAGTTTGAATTCCTTGCTCACTGCTTCAGTTGGATCAGGGTTATCAATTAATATCTTGAGCAAAACCCTGAGCCACTTGGCTTTTGATTACCCAAGAGGTCTCTCCCTAATTCCCTCAGGTCCTATGAAATCATTCTTCATGTTTCAATTTCAGAGAACTGTGTTGAGAAGCTATCATTTTTCTTTCTTAAGTGATAACATTTGCAATAGTTTAGAAATAAGGAAAGATATTTTAAATCACACTAAATTAAGCCAACTTACTGTGCCACATGCACTTGCGCACGAAATTATGTAAGTGCAGAGCAGAGAATTTCTATGCCATGTTCCTAATACGAGTGTCTGCCTGTGACAGTGGCCAGCACTGGTTAGACATGGTCTATTTTTGGAGGAAGATGGAAGGAATGTCTAACTGCCATTGCCATTTATTAACTAGGCCACCATAGAGGGTTAAACAGGCTAATAACATTACAAATGTGAATTTAGTGGATTTGAGAGATTTAGCCCTTTTCTGTCACTTTCTGATGTAGTGCATGTACTTACAGGTTGTAGCAGTCTCCTCACCGACAATGTTTCGCCTTAGTGATACAACAGAGTATGAAAGCTTATGTCTTTGCTTTAGGGAAATACAGAAGATTCAGTTTATTCTGTAGTTTAAACACTGGATTGATATGAAGATATTGTAGAGCCACAATTGAATTATGACTTTGGGTTTTCTGTGTGCTGAAGAGCTGGGATGCTCAGCTGAATAAACAAGACAATTGGTTCCTGAACTCTGCTGCTCTGCTGGAATTCAACAGGGAACGAGTTTCTGAGTCATGGGGCTGAGTTTCTAGCCAGATAGCAACAGCAGAGGCACCTCTGCTATTCCCTGCTCTGCAGCGTGGCATGGTCTGATTGTTCTGCAGCAGCACACTATAAATATGTTGCATTTTTTAACTTGGAAATGTTGATATGCAAGAGGACAGTTCTGAATCAAAAAGGTGTTCAATGATCTTTTCTGATTTAATGCAGAAGCAGGTTCCTGGTCTAAGGAATGCCACCAATGGAGTTTCCTTTCCCCTTCAAGGACAGCATCAGGAAAACCCGACATCATTAGGGAGAGATCCAGAGAGGCTGAGGAGGGTTCTTCTGTGGCCATTGCTGAACCTCATTCCCACACTCAGTTAAGAGTTTATCTAGACCCGAAATGGGACAGTGCAGCAAAAGAAGAAAATGGACAGGAAAGCACAACTTTTCAGACACTGGAAGAATTCCAGCCAGCTGCTGACACTGAGAGTGATGTGGATTTCCACAAACAGCCTGAAGTGTTTATACATGAGTTAGAAAATAATGAATTTGCCCGTGGTACTGCAGAGCCACTCTTTTCCCAAAGTTCTTCTCCATTAACTGTCTTGGACTCCAAGGGAGATGTAAGAGAACGAGATACTGAAGAAGTGAGCTTAAGATCAAGTTCTGAAAGTGATGGGGCAGACAGTAGGGCTGCCTGGTGTATTAGTCACAGAACTTACGACACTGGCAACAGACATGAGTTTGAAAGATTCAAGAAGTTCATTAAAGGAACACTTGGGGAGAGGTACTGGTGGCTCTGGATGGATATTGAAAGATTAAAGGCTCTTAAGGACACTACAAGGCAGCAAAGGTATTTCCCATTATTCCCGTTGTTTTAATACTTGTAAACCAGCTAGATCAATGCAAGTTTTGAGATTTCAAAATAAATTGTAATGTTTGAATAGAACAGACACAATTAATCATGAGCATCCTGACAAGATGAGTCAGGAATGACTCTGTGGAAACTGATAAAACTCTTTTTTTCAGAGTTATGTTTGCAAAGCTTACACGAAGTCAGAATCACTGTAGTATTAAGGTTTTGTTAGAAAGAGATTTGGAAAACAGATGGCAACAGAAATTTAAAAAAAGAATAAAAGAACTTAAATTCACAAGTAGAGCATTCAGTATGACAAACTGCTTTAGTGAAAGGCTCTCCTGGATTCAGATTGTCTATTCTAAGGCACTGTACATTTTATCTTATACACAATCTGTCCCTAATTTGCAGAAAAATTGTTTTGGCTTCTGCCATTTGCAATTAAAAACAGGTTGCATGACAGCAATTTAACCAGTAGGATGAACTATACTTGGTTCTGTACAGCATCTGATACATGCTTATGTGACTATTTTTGTTGACTCAAGGCAACTCATGAAGATGAAAAAACTCTATCTGCTGAGCAGTGGAGACTATTTCCTCAGTTTGGAAGTGTTACTCAGACTTGATCTAGTGCATGGAGATCAGTGGAATACAAAGCATTTAAGACAGATTCAGCCTGAAGTGGTGAAACCTCTACTTCTTTACTGGTATGAAAAAATGAACATGGACTAAGATTCTATTGTTTAACAAATTTCCCTTTTCTTTGACAAGGCTATTAGTTTTATTTCATCTCACTTATCCTATTGCAATTATGGGAAGCAATGTCATCATAAATACTAGCAGATGTTGCATCTGAATTCTTAGTTGAGCCTAAACTACACTGCAATCTGCTGAGAAGCCAGGTAGATCTGCTTTACTGAGCCCTTGTTATTTTCCTGCCAGAGCATCCGAGCTACTTTGTTTATAGCCGCCTTGGATACCATTCAGATAAACTTTAGGCTGCAGGGTAAAGAAACTCCTTCAGGCATAGAAAGTTAATTCTGTTCTAACCTATTTCCCATATTGCCCTTCTCAAGTTTCTAAGGATGCTCTGTGTATACATCTATGTAGAATTTGACCTTGAGACTTTACTGTCATACAAAATGCCTTTTCCATATTGACAGCTTAAGGAAGGATACAAAAATCTAACCTGTTTCCAAAACATATGCTAAATTTTTCAAGTTTTCTCTCCTCCCCAAGGGAGATTAACAAATTGTAGGCATAAACAACTACCTGCAACTGTGAACTTTGCTGTGGAGCCTCATGAGAGTTATGGTCTATGTCCTGTGACCGACAGGCCTTTCCTATTCTTTGCTGTGGGATGGATGGGGCATACCTTACTGCAGACTCATGCAAAGACAACTATGTAATGGTGCATAATTTGTGACCTAAGTTTGTTTATGTGTAGCTTGGTTTTAGATTTCAAGAGTGCAATCTCTAAACATATCTTTAATACTAACTATTTTTTAATTCTAGGTGCATATAGCACCGTACCCGTACCTTGATATGGTAAACACTGTCATGGGGGGGAAAAAAAAGCCAAATAGCCCAGTATTTCATGTTTTGGAAAAGTTCTATTTATTAGCTTTTTTTTTCTTAGGGGTCCCAGATTTTGTGTCACTCATTCAACAGCAATAGAAACTGCCAGTGCAAAACTGAAGCTCTGGCACATGTGCCAAGAGAGACCAAGGGTGGACATTGATCCTTTTCCACAGATGGTATCACTGCTACAATTGACACCTAAGTCTTGCATACCTAGGATACCACCTTCCCTTCCTCAGGTAGGTAGGATCGCAACGTTGAAAAACAAAGCCTTGTCCAATCAAAAATAATGATAAACCTCCTTGAATTCAATGGGACAAGAATATGGTACTTGGTTGTTAGGAAGTCAAGATTTAGCAAGATTGTCTGTTGCAGATGGTTATGTATAAAAATGCAGCAAAATTTTACTATATTTTATGAAACAAGTCCAAATTATCTTCTCAGTTACATCCTGGCTATTTCATAAGTCTTTTGGATAGGTATTTTAGCTCGAAGTTCTCAAAATTGAAAGATTAAGGATCTAGCAGTGCAGATTCTGCCCTTCAACCAGCCTTATCTTAACCCAGAATAATTCTTACAACTTCACTGCAGTCACCCTGAATCTACCCCTCATGTTTGTAAAAAGGGCAGAGTTCTGCTCATTTTCTGTCATCATAGTCCTTTAATCAGCTACACGTGATTTTTGCTTTCTACTGAGGGCCATGAGCCACACAACACAGATCTGTCCTTTTCACAGCATGTAACTTGCAGGTGGCCAGTTCAGTTTTGACTCTGTTCTTTCCTGAAAGCCTGAATTTGAGAGGTAACTGCTATGAAACATGCAGGCTTTCAACAACATGGTGTTAAGCCTCAGAACAGAAGGTACTTAGAGAACATGAATTGAGACTGTGGTTCCAGTATCAAGAACTGGATGGGCTCTGCCACAGATCTGTTCACACACACCTCTGTTACTTTGAGTTGTAGACTACAATTATATTTTTTAAAAAGCTAATTCATGGAGATAACAGAGGAAAATCAGTGGGACAGATTTCCTGTTCAGTAGAGGCTGGGTTCA